GATTTTATTTATTTATTTGAGAGAGAATGAGAGACAGAGAACACGAGAGGGAAGAGGGCAGAGGGAGAAGCGGAGCCCGATGTGGGACTCGATCCCGGGACTCCAGGATCATGACCTGAGCCGAAGGCAGTTGCTTAACCAACTGAGCCACCCAGGCGCCCTTGTGGTCTTGCAGTTTGGCTGCATGTAGGCAAATATTGCTGAGCCATAGAAGAGGACAACAACAGTGAGATGGGAGCCACAGGTAGAGAAAACTTTGAGCCTCCCCTCTCCAGACTGCATCTGGATCACAGTGGAGATAATATTCCAGTAGGAGACAAGGATCAGGCAGACAGGAGCTAAGAGGATGACCACACCCATTGCAAAGATGGCCATTTCTGTGCTGTAAGTGTTGTCTGCTGAAGCCAGCTTCAGTAGGGCAGGAGGTTCACAAAAGTGGTGATTAATAATGTTCTGTCCTTGATAGGGTAGTTGAAAAGTAAAGGTGGTATCCACCAGAGACACTAGTGCGCCATTGGCCCAGGAGCCTATGGCCAACTGGAGACACACCTTTTGGGTCATGATGGTGGAGTAGTGCAGGGGCTTGCAGACAGCCACATACCGGTCATAGGACATCACTGCCAGCAGTGCACACTCTGTACACCCAACCAGAAGGAAGACAATTGTCTGTGTCATACACCCAAAAAAAGAAATAGTTTTCTCTTTACAAGGAAGTGGACCAACACTTGAGGGACAATGCTAGTAGAGAAGCAGAGATCTGCGAAAGAGAGGTTTCTAGGAAAAAAGTACATGGGAGTGTGAAGTCGAGAATCCATGGAGATGAGAATGATGATGAGCAGGTTTCCAAGCACAGTCAAAAGATAAATGATGAGAAAAGGAATAAATAGCAGGATCTGGGTCTGCAAGTCCTGGGAAAGGCCAGGGAAAATAAACTCAGCCACAAAGGTTTGGTTTTCCTCTCCCATTGAGATTTATGCCTCTTTACCTGTTTGCACAAATAAAAAGAACAAACTTTGGGTTTGTGACATCAAGTCCTATAGAAGAGTATCATTTAAAGCCCAGTTTAAAACCAAATTGGATATTCCTAGCTTTTTGCTATTCATGTCATTCTAATTAATACTACATAGAATATTTTAATTCTTATTAGTTGGTTGTAATGTAAATCCACTTCATTTTTTCCCAAATCTCCACTTCCCAGTGCCACTTATTTATAGAGTGTGACATTGTTAAAGCCTTCTTAGCTAGTTCTGATATGAGGATATTAGACTTCCTGGGGATTTTACTAAATGGCTGTACACATATTATTACAAAACGACTGTGTATACTGTTAGCACTGTTACCATGCATAAAACATGCATACCACTAACTGTTCAAAATACTACCTATTTAATTATAACATATGCTTAAAAAATGTGAAACAGCTTTCAGGCGTCAAACTTAATTTGACCTCTTAAAGAACAACAAATTCGGGCGCCTGGGTGGCTCAGTTGGTTGGGCGACTGCCTTCGGCTCAGGTCATGATCCTGGAGTCCCAGGATCGAGTCCCGCATCGGGCTCCCTGCTCGGCAGGGAGTCTGCTTCTCCCTCTGACCCTCCCCCCTCTCATGCTCTCTCTCTCTCATTCTCTCTCTCAAATAAATAAATAAAATCTTAAAAAAAAAAAAGAACAACAAATTCTTCTTGCTTTAAAAATAAAGCCTTAGTATTTAATACACTAAGTATTATTCTATTTGGATTAAAGAGTAAAATACTGAAAGTAAAACAATAGAAAATAGGAAAAATAAGTTAAAATTCCTGTGATTCCTGGATTGGATCAACTGATACAAAATCTGTCTAAGAAACCATGAAGGAAAACATGTAGAATTTACAACATAAATTGAAAGAATTCTGTGAAATAATAATATTATGAATTAAATTAAAGGAGAAAGTACAAACTGAGGAAAATATTTGAAAGAGATATCAGACAGAAGTTGATGTCTTCATTTAATTAACATTATGTATAAAACACTATGAAAATTGTTGAGGCTAGGAAATAATGGGCCAAGGATTATTTACAAAGAAGAAATGAAAATAGCACTTAAATATAAGAAAAATACTCAGTATTCTAACTAAATAAGTACAACACAACAATGAGAGATACACTTTTCACTGGGAAATTAGTTAATATTAAAAAAAAAACCCACATCACAAAATAGTAACTAGTATTTTATTGAAAATTTAACTCATGACAGGCATGAAGGGTTCTATATAATTATATTGTCCCAATAACATTATAAGGTAGACATTATTAATCTTACTTTGCAGATGAGAAAACCGAGGCACAGAAAAGTTCAGCTACCTTCCCCAAATCACACAATTAATAAATGGCAAAATTCATTAACTGTAAAATGAGGGTGCAGAAAAAAAGACATTTTTGTACAATGCAAGTGGGTAGAAAATTAGTCCAATCTTTCTGGAAAATAATTTTGTCAAAAGTATTTAAAAATTTAAATACTTATATACTTTGACCCATTTCTCAATAATATGGGGGTGGGAGAAATTCTGTTTTTACTAGTCCTTTTTTCCGATGAGGAAGAATCTGATTTGTGACATTCTGGGATGCTGCTTGGTCCATATTTACTACCGGCTAGTGTTACTGTGCTTTAAAAGGTCATGCATGTTCAATCTCCTCACTTCTTCATGGAACTGGACTGATAAATTTAGCAAAGTCCCACTTGAGCTGTAAGGGAGATTGAAGATTTTGAAAGACTTTAGACTAGACCAAGTACTCCAACCCAGGCTTATCAGAGTTCTGAACTTGAGTGACATTAGGGACTAGTGCAATTGATAAAAAACAGGGTCTTATTTTTCATATTTCTTGTTTCTTTTGTAGAAATCTAAGAAGAGGAATGACTAGGACTAGAAGAGTATTAGGAGTTCCTGAGTCCCTAGGCCTCATTTCATATAATATCCCCAAATATTATCCCAATTTCTAAATCCAATTCTAGGAATCTATTCTAAATAAATGGTCTAAATTGAAGAAAAATATTCACAGGGAAATTTGTTTATCATGTTATATAATAATGGTTAAAAACAGACATATTGACAAATGGAATATAATAAAGAACCGAGAAATAAACCCACACATATACAGTCAACTGATCTTTGACAAGGGTGCTGAGATACACAATGAGGAAATGACAGTCTCTCCAATAAATCGTGTTGGAAAAACTGAATAGCCACAAGCAAAACAATGAAATTGGACCCTTATCTCACATCATATACAAAAATTAACCCAAAATGGATTAAAGACTTAACATAAGACCTGAACAAGTGTCCAGGGCCTGATGGATTCCCTGGGGAATTCTACCAACCATTCAAAGAAGAAATAATACCTATTCT